TTACTACCGAAGATAAATTATTACACGTTCCAAGAAAATGGCATGGCATATCGTACGAGAGTTAGAAAAGGTAAAAGGACGTAAAAGTGGTGGGTGTTAGAACAGGTGAACTATAGCAAAGGTAATCATCGTCGAGGGATACAGGGGTTTGTGTCAATAAATATTGACATTTACGCGCCTTCATATATCGATCTGTGGAATAACTATCTTAAAGGAAGATTTAAAATATTTAATTTGTATCATCAATATTATTCGATAAATTTTTTCAATAATTATTTAAAGGTAACTGTAAATGTTACGTACATTTTTATAAAAATCATTAATGATTTTTACGTATATGTATGTAGTTGAATAGATGTGAATCGAATCGAACTGTATCAATTGAATCTTATTAGATATTTTTTTTTTATCATAAGAACGAATGAATAAGTTTCGCGATTATTAAACATTTTTATTTAATTATTACCTTTATTTTATACGCGAATATTTCATATAATTTTGATCTATGAAACTTTATAAGAAATATAAATCATTTTATGAACGATCTACATATTTATGTTTGGGTTATGGTAACTGAATTTTCGAGCGGACCACTTTCAGGGGTGTCTCAGATATTTTTGCAAGGGTGCCGCCACTTCGACTGTCTCGTACAGGAAAATGTTTTTAGTCGCTTGAAAGGGAAGGATGAAGTAGATTGAGAGTGACGTATACGAACGTGTTTGCGTATGAGAAAAGCAAAGGGTCGGTTGGTAATTTCTCCGACTGGTCAGTAGAAGAGTCTCGCATAGAACGGCCAGATAACCCGTGTCGCAGACCATGGATGTACGGAACTGTATCGATCCAGGCGTTAAATATTTAATCGCAGGAAGAAAGTTCAATACACCGACTAGGGCGGTTGTCTTTCGAAGACAGACCGAACGAACGAAAACGAACAAGACAGGAGCAAGCCGGCACGCAACAATTCCTCTGCCCGCTATTTGCCAAGACTGGGTTGACTTTCATTATTTAGAGCGGCGGAGAAAAATGAGGATCGTCGACACGTCGTTTCTACCGCATATCGATCGTAATTTACCAGACAACTTATACGATGTGTGTATGTATATCAAAACCACAGCATTCTACGTAGGTAAGACTTTTTGTAAGTGTAAATCAACCATAAGTAATTTATCACGACTATCTTTTCACAATATAAATTATTTTTTCAATTATGTATGAGATACAATGTAATTTTGTGAAAATATATACATATATAAAGAATTTATTATTACATGAATTTAATCCATTCGTACACTATTCGTACCATTCCTATGATATTTGAATAATTTCAGAATATTATAATGAATACGATGATGTAGAAAGAAATTGTTGAAATATGGACACGAATGAATTTAGGTTAACTATTCATACATAAAATATATCCCATTCATAAATAGAAACGAGGTAATGGAACATTTCTACACGAACTGATTCCAAACTTCATTCGAATAACTTCCGGCAGTTGAATCTCTGAATGCGGAAACCGTTTGGTGAAATGCGATTGCTTTTTAACGAACTGTTTTTTTCAAATAATTCGTTTGTAAATTATGAAAATATTAATATTTATTTTCGTGAAACGTCTTTAAAAATGATACAAATCAATTTATTAGTTTAATATATATAGATAAAATAACGAAACTTTAATAACATTTGAAATTTTGTATGCAATTGATTGAAAATTTTAACTATGCTAGTCAATCTATTGTGCCGCGAGAGATTAATTGAAAATTTTATTAATGTTTAAATATAATACACAAAACATGTCAATTGAAAAGTTTTCATTAGGAAATAATTATTTTTAATGAATTATAAACGTATCATAGCCAATAAATTTCACAAGTAAATATATTATATACGTATTAAGCATCTTTGATAATAATGGAGTATCGATCGCATGTACAGATTTAATACTTGGTAATAAAAATGTCGCGATTTACTTTTTAAAAAATAAACAGGCCAATTTTCTACTCTATATTGACAAGCTGCTTGTTACTGGAAAATTGCATCGGAAGCACGCGTAACTACCGAGTGAAGTCGATAAACAGTGCTGAGATACGATCTTCCTCGAGTCGCTAAAGCAAGCTTGGTTCTTGTGGATTGTGGTGCCGTCTTTTTTGGTAGTACACTTTTAAAAGAGTTTTTAGATAAGAGGACTTTAATAGCTAACACCGAAGTTACTTATAGCGAGTTTTAGTATATCTTAGACTCTCATGTTAGGTTCAAAGTTTGGATCACCGTATTATTAAAATTTCTATTTTTCTATTATGCTTTATATATTTTTCTATTATAATTTATTATCAAATAAATAAAAAGAGTTTTAATATTTTTTTGTTTTAATTTAAAAACGCGTTGAATTTTATTAATAATTATGATTAGTTATGAATTATGATATTTTTATGAATCATAGCATATGTGTTTTACTTCTGATGATTTTTTAATGCAAAAAAGATTTTCTCTGTATATTCTCTGGAAATAAGCACAAATAAATAATTGAAAAAAATAATTTATTAAATCATATAAACATATTTGAAAATTATTTGTATTTTATTAATATTAAAGTACAGATTCTGTTTACACGAGATTTAACGAAAATATCTAAAATTAATATTGAATCAATATAAAAAATTTTCATTTATTTAATTAAAGAATATGCAATAAAATCTGTCCCAGAGATTAAATTTCAATAGATTAAACAATAAAAAAAAAAGAAATGAAATAAATTGATAAAAAAAAAGAGTTAAAAAATGTATCATTTATCATTATTTTCAGTTAGTTATTTTTTAATATTTAAAAATATTTATAAAATTAACAATACATGAGCTATATTAAAGTTAAAAAAAGTATTTTAAACGGTTTACTTAAAGCTGTGCGTAATTTTTCGTAGTTTCTACAACAGCTTTAAATGGCGACGAAAGTGCGACTTTTAATTGCGTGCTTCGTGAAACGCATCGTGCGAATGCAACATATCCCCTGCTCCGCAGCTCCCTTAATGAGATGGCCGGCTGAGCCGCCTCATCGGTGTTAAAAATGTTTCTCTCGCGCGCAACCGAGAAGATAGGTTCGTACACGGAAAATCTTTCTTGTGTGCACCTATTCCGTGCACTAGGTAGTTGCACACCCCTTGTATCTTATGGCAGGGTGCTGTGGGGACTCCCGCTTCTTCCTCCTCTGCACGGAAGTTGTGCTCATGGGGGGTGCTTTTACCGCCTCGCAGATAGCACCAGTAAGTATGTACGTTCTTGGCGCTTGCGCACGTTGTTTTCCATCCTTGTCGTATGCATACTATTCGGTATACTTTGAAACGAATCCTTTCTTTGTCGCTCTCTTCTGGCTGCATCGTTAGGAGAGAAAGAGAAAGAGGAAGAGAGTGCGCGCTAGCCAGCGAAAGCTTCGCGAGCGAAAGGGAGAAAGGAAGGAGTAAAGGAAGACAGAACGTTTACGAACGCGATAGAGAGAGTGTGCGCAAGGTACGAGGGAGAACGAGTGAGAAAGCCGGAGCGTTGCGTGGGGAGCGATCGCAGCTCGTCATTCGAAGCCCGCCAACGGACGAGCGAGCAGCGACGGCACGGGACTGCGATTGAAAGTATCCACGCGATCTTCGCGAAAATAAAGAGTACAGATACAGGCTTACACCTGAGATTAAAACAGGCGAAGAATCACATCGTGACAAAACATCTATTTAAACAGTAGTTACCAACTGTTTTGCGATAGCAAATCAATCGCCGGTGTAACACGCTGGTTCGTACGGTCCACTCGAACGAAGCGCTCGTTCCTCGTTCGGTTCGCTTCGGTTACGATCGTGTCGACCGCAGTGCTTACGGTGTTCGTCTCGCGTGTTTTCATTTCAGAGAGGGAGAGTGACAGCGAAAAGAGTGGTGGAAAGAAAACAAAACTGTTGACGGTGATTAAACGTGACTCCTGCAAACACATCCTTAAAGGATATCTGTGCTGTGTGACATTCTTCTCGTTCGAAATATCAGGAAAACGAGAATTTGATCCCACACAAGGACGAGTTGCAGAGAAGGAGCAGTGTAGTTTATTCATTAAACCACTAGGGTGCGTGTATCGTATGTGTGATTGAAATCAGTACCGGTACAACAGCATTACGCGAGACATTGATAATCGAATTTGTGCTTCGATCAGTGTTCGTTGTTGGTTAAAAAGTTCATCGTGACTATTTTTATTCGTGGTCGGATTGTGTTATAGTGTCGTTTCGTGGTCGATTTGAAACCGTTACATTTTTTCGAAGTACATCGATGAATCATTGATATTTCGAACTAAAGCTGATTCAAATCAATTGCAAATCGTTCATTTTATGAGGTTGAGTGTAGAAGAAATATCAAAGTTACAAACAATAACAGTACAATTTGCCTAAAGTAAGTTATAGAATCAAATTCTAGGAATATACAAAAAGAAATAAACATTCCAGAACGGAGACGCCATTAATCTAACAGACCTGAGGCTATTGTAGCCATTATCTTGTAACGTACATATTCGAAAAAATTGAAATCTTGTTTCGCGCGCAAACGGAATATCATATTGGTTGCTTTCGAAAAAAGTTTGGATTCTTCAAATATCTTTTTGATCAACTACGAGAAATATACCAATGTTTATTCCAATATATCGATAGAAGAAATAATAAAATTTCTGGTATATGAAAGAAAATACGTTTGGAAGAAAATTCAATTGTATATTATTCCTGTGGAAAACGATCGAAAAAAATAACTAAGGATTGATTTGTGATTGAAGCTTTTCTTCACTGTTTTTACGAAAATTTAAAAGAACTATCATCTTAAGATATATATTCCGAGTGTCAATCAATTTCGCCATAACGTTACAATCTCGACATTGAATTCAACAGTGACGCAGTATTGAGGAAACCAAAGTTGCATTTAGCAACTGAAATTCAATTCCAATGTTTTTCGTGTGCTGTCTACTAATTCGGCGTCGTGTTTCGTGACATTATATTCGCGTGTGTGCTACAAAGGTGCTCGTGGACGAATGATTTATCGTACTATCACGTGAAAAAATATATTCGTGTGTGCAAAGAAAGCTTTTTTCCCAGTTGGATTACAACGAAGCAACGACATTGTGTTCACTTCATAGGAGTGGAAGGATTTGTCGCGACCCCGTGAATTTCGAATTCGTCGTGTCGATCGAGACAACAGACAACGCGTGGCCAATTACTCGCATCGTTACAAGCATCAATTGATTAATTAACACCTTAATTAATTCGTTCGATCGGTTTTAACTTTTCGACACCGTTGCTGCTCTCGTGTCTACACTTTAACGTTTTCGTCCGTTTTCACGAATTTATCAAGATCGTATCGCGATCGTAATTGATAGTAATCGGAATTTCTCTCATTTTATACGCCAACGCCGGAAAATTGATTACACGCGATTCAACGTCGTGGCGATTAATTCCAGTTTTGATTGTCAACGTTTTCTCGAGTTCGATTTTCATCGTATAGGCAGGATCTATTCTATATAGATCCTTTGTCCGATTAAACCGGGATTACGTGCTAGTTCGTGGAGGCAATCGGTCTGTAATTGTGCCACGCGTACGGTTAATCGCTTGTCTACGCGAAGAACAATAAACGGTGGTGTTTACGTGACGAAAGTGCAGACGCAGCCCACTCGGTCACTTGCAAAAAGTGAGTACTCTGTCATGTTTTACCATTACCTATGCTCTTATATATGTAGGCATATGAATGCGATGCGTGAACGTATATCGGTCGATTTACTAACACTGTCACTGTCGTACACGTGTCTGCGTGCACCTGTATGTGGATATGCGTGCGCGTATATACACGATACCTCGCCGGTATTCATTCAAAACAAAACAACCGTGCTCATCCATTACGAATATGCATGGATATATGTACATACGCATACGCATGCATCTGTATGCATACATTTTGCAAGTTAACTGGTCCTGCGACAATATTGTTTTTGTCGGTTTTAATTAACATTTCGAGGTGCTGGCTACAGTAAGGGCACTAATGAGAAACTAAATTTCGCGGTGTGGTTTTGTTTTTTATGTTTTTCTCTTTTTTCTCGTTGAAGCGTCATGTACACTCCCTTGTTTCACGTTACAGAATTATATGTATTTATTTTTATTTCAATTTATTTTATCGTAAGAGTTTTTAAATATTAACGTATAACAAATTAACAGTAAAGACTTCTAAGAATATTTTTCTATTATAATGAAAAGTTCCAAACGTCCCTATTCTTTTGATCATTATCCATGCATAAATTTTGGATGGAATTTAATAATTTCTTACAGTACAGAAATGAATTATGATTATAGAACTAAATTCTAGATAGAATTTTATAAGAAAGAGACATTTAATCAAGAATTTCTAAATAAATGTAAATCATAAAATAAAAGTAATTACATTCTTATATTGTTATTTTGTTATACAATTGAAATTATATTATTTCATTGAATAATAAGGGATGTACATTGTGATTTTGAAGTAATCTCGAAAAAATCGGATTTTGATGTGATAAATTAGTAGAGAAAAATGAATGAGAGGAACGATAAAACAAAGATAAAGATGGAAGAGGGGAATAGAAGAAAAATCCTGTAGCTAAGGATGAATCTGCCTCGTGAACAGAACAACGAGTTATCCGACAGCTCGGTAGATCTTTAATGGTCTTTTTCTCCACTGAATGTACACTGTTTCATGCTTTATTCCTTTCTCTTCTCACTCTTTTGGATCGGACCAGGCCACACGTTTCACTCTCGTTCTCTTCCGACTCACGTCGTAAACGTGTCTTTCGTGCAAGAACGCAATAAAGTTCCGCCTTTCCTTCGAGATCATCCGGGGCTACGGGTCTGAAAGCAGGTGACTCTGTTCCAAACAAGATTCGCTCGATGGGGGGCCTTTTGCAATGAGGAACGTTGAACTGGTATCTCGCTGAGGAGATTAAGCCTGACAGTAGATGCGAGTATACGTACAAATTAAATTCGAGAATTTATGCGAATGTATCGCTACTTCTCGTTCGATGTACAAAAGATATTCGATGTACAAAAACAAGTAGTTTATGCAAATTGGGATAATATTGAATTTAAGGTATGTATTTTTGTATCAGATTATATATATATACGAATTTATGTAAGAATGGGTATTATTTGAGAATATTAAGAAAGTTGAAATATGAAGGACAGGTAGATTGGATATAAATTGAGAGCAGTTAACCTGAAAAAGAGGCAGGAGAGGACAGTAGTTGCTTCACCGCGAGATTTCGTGGTTAAAGTAGACGTGACTGCATCCCGATACTTGACATTTTCTGTTTGCTCCTTTTCATCATTTCTTATTGCCCTACCTTATTTTTATTTTCGTCCAGTACGATGCTGATTGCTTGCACACAACATTGTAAAATGCATCGTCATCCGACATCGTTTCGATTTCTTGTTCTTTTTAAATCCTTTCAGTTCCTCTCAAGTTGATCCTGTTTCTTCATCGGTTCCACCATTTAAATGGTGGGTTAAATTTTTAATTTATCCACTCATTTCCATTGTTACAACTTGTTTTTGTATTTTCTTCGTAAATAATAGCCATTAATAGGGAAAAGATCGGAACGAGTTATGTCGAGCGGATGTATCGTAATATCAAGAAATCAAACGAAATCGATCCGCGCTTAATGAAATCGTCGAGCACAATGATAAAAGCGATCGAGGAGCGAAAATGAATTTTTTTGTTCACGCGCACGCTGCAAAATACGTTGTTAAGATTTTACGGGTATGCAAGACCGTGGTACAAATTAAGTTCAGGTTTCTTCGTTACGATTGTACGAGTCGGCAAGCTTTTACTTTCCTTTTATTGTCTACGGCAGAACCTTCTACGCCCTCGCGGATACCCAAGAAATAGGAGTGGAATCCTTTGAATCGTTAATTAGCTTGAATTCTTGGATTCTAATTACACAGTACAGTTTACGGCTTTATTTAAGCGCAGTAGTTCTCTCGGGCTTGGTAATATCGAGGGACGCTAAATACTTGTAGCCAGCATCTCTCTCATTTTATCGTATTCGTGTCTCTCATTTTAAATTGATTATCCGTTCAGATTCAGAATTATTGATTATGCATCCTTTATCGCGCACAGGTGACCCATAGTTTTCTCCTGGAAGCGGTACACAAACGGCCTCAAGATTCAGCTGGACATCATGCCTTGGTTCATCCTATTTCTTCTTCTGTTAGCTGTGATGGAGGCCTTCCCTCGGGAGGCCACCTGTTCCCGCCTGCCGGACATCTACTGGAACTCCACCAATCCAATGTAAGTCACAACTGAATCTTCCTCTTATCTCGTTCATTCCGTATCTTTCCGATGTAATTATCCTTCTCCAACTTTTATCGCTTTGATTTATACAATCTCTACGAGTAAATCTGAAATATTTGCGATTCGCTTTTTATCCGACAACTGCCCGCGTGCGCTCAGTATCGTCCTTTGTTCCACTATTTAAACAATGGAATAAAATCATTTTTAGATGCATATATAAGTACTTTGAGTTAATATAATTCATCGTGCAAAACAAAGGGTACCTTTAAGCGAAACCTGTGTTAAGCTTGCGTTGCGGAATAATTGTAATAAAATGTAAAAATTCCGAGCGAAATGGTGCCTACAAGCAACGTAATGTTATTGTTTAAAAAATACACACGCGAAATATAATATGAAACGTGTAATATTGGTACACACTGAGATCTACTTGACGTAGATTTTGATTTTAAAAGTAGATTTCGCGATACCTCTCCACATACATACACACACGTACAATTGTATTTCTTGTGTATCTCCGATGCAGTCGCCGAAAGCGTCGTATTTACCGTGAACATTACCCTACACCCCATGCGAAGAATGCAAGCTCCGTTTAATCTCATCCGAGATATTACCGTGAATGTCCTTGTTCCGGATAGAAGACGACCGCATTTCCACGTTGAAGCATTCCACGAATGCGGCTTCCTCGTGTAGGAAAAGCGGGCTAGGGGCCGATATAGAGATCGTCCGATCTTTATCGCCATTTACGCTATTCGTTTCTTGTGCGATTTTCATATTTCCAAACTTAACGTTTCTGCATTCTTATCCAAACCCTTCAGATATATCCTCTGCATTTCGTTATTCTTATCACACCTTTATTTACTCTTCCCGTTTTTTTATATTCGATATCTTTTTCCACGACGCTCTAGCGTAAAAAACGTTGTTATTCACAGAATACGATATTAAACCAAAAACGGGGAAGGGAGGGGAAAGGACTAAGGGAAACGGAAGAAAAAGAATTCGCGAAATATCTTAAAAACACGGATCTTTTTAAAAAATATCCCCGTTTTAAATCAAGAATTTCACGGTCCGATTTCTTGACCTTCCTCTCGCTTTTTTTACTCCTTGGAGCGGTTCCGTGACGTATCACCGCGATATTTCTTTCCGTGGAACGATACACGCGTGGCCAGGGCCCGTGTACGTGCGCACGGTTCCGTTCGATCGGTTTCCTTTTCCCTGTTCGCGAGAGAGCCCACGGAGGGGAAAAAAAGGGCGGAATTGAAAGCCGGACGAAAAAGGCCCGGCGTGTTCACGCCCCTACCGGCTTCAGGATGTACGTGCGTTGCCGCGAGCGGTTCTCGGAGGTCGGGCATTATAGATGTACCGGGTGAGTCGAGTCGAAATCGATTTACCGGGCCGCATTTTTCGCGCCTAGGGTCAAGTGAGCCGAACCGTTACTCGTACGAACGTAGTGTGCGCGAGTAGCGTGGATTGTGGATCCACGTTAGAGAGCGTTAAAGAAGCGTAAAGCGGGATAGAGAATTTTACAAGTATCGAAGTTGAGTGGTGCGTCGAGTCGAGAAGCGAAGATCGATCTGTCCTCGAGTTTCATCGGGATGGTTGACTAATGCGGTAGAAAGGGATGGGGGAGGATGGTGGAGTGGTGCGGTGGGCGAGCTCGGTTAACGGGCAAAAACCAATTCGTTGTCGAAGCGGGATTGAATGTCGAGCGTTGTCGTCCGCGTTTTATCGTCTAAATCGATGGGTCTTGCTCGTCGGATGTGCGTATCCGCGTATACGAGCCTACAATGAAAGACATTAACTCTTTTTTTCGGAGTTCAATTTCCTGTTCATTAATGGAAGGGAAAAAAAAAAAAGAAAAAAAAGGATAGGGGCCGGTGGTTGCGTCGCCTGTAGGTCGGGGATAAAACAAATAAGGATGAAAGCGGTGGTACACGTAAACGTGTAACGTTTAATTGAAGTATATAAGGTATCGCGTGTTTCGTGTTCCTCGGTATCGAAATGCTATTGTGAGAATAGCTGCTCGAAACAATTCGCACTTATTTTAGAGTTTTATGCGGAAGCTTATTTGGATCGGGTTTAATACAATACATATACTTTGCAAGTCCCATTTCCATGTACGTTCTTCCCTTGGAATGCTTCTGCACAATCTCGATACCGATAGTGAACGTAACCATAGATTCGAGAATGGATCGCGATACTCTCTATTTTCTCTCGACAAATTCAAATTCTGCTGTAGTCAGCGGTGGTAAGATATAGGGTGGAAAAGGATAAAGAAAGAGAAGTTAGGAGAGAAAGTTAGAAGCTTTAAAAATGAAAGAGCATAAGTAATAAGGACAACGTCTTGGTAATTCAATTGATTTAAGATTTTTCTTTAAAATTCTTTTTTTTTTTTTTTTTTTACGAATAATTTTTGTATCCATATCGAGATCTTGG